CACTAATTCATAAAAAAATCACCCTTTCCTTATATATATTTAGTTCTTTAATACACACACACACACACACACACACACACACACACACACACACACACACACATACATACACACACACACACACATATATATATATATATATATATATATATATATATATATATACATAATTATTTATTTAAAAATTATAACATGATAAAATCACTATAAAAAAAGCCATTTTTGTTTCAACACTTTTGGTGTCTTATCAAGTGATGGTGTTGAATGTAGACTAAATGGTTTTTAAAAGAACTTTTAAATGCCTTTTAGTCTACATTCAACATCATCACTTGATAAGACACCAAAAGTGTTGAAACAAAATGGCTATTTTTGTAGTGATTTTATAAGATATTTATGTTATAATTTTTAAATAAATAATTATATTCGCTCTACTCTATATTGAGCACTATTTTAAAATAGTAATTGTTATTAGTAATAGTTATTGGAATTTATTCCGTATACACCAATCGTATACTTGGATATATATATATATATATATATATATATATATATATATATATATATATATATATATATATATATATATATATATATATATTGTCAGTAGCTGTGTTCATATATTCAGTTGTACATATAACTGAATATTTATATTCCACCTACACATATACCTTTTGTATGTGTATATTTTTAGGAATTACATTAAATCCCACAGATTTTTAATTTATATAGTAGACGTTATTTTTTAATAGCAACTAATATTTCAGTAGATGCTCTCATTTTATTTTTTATTATTAAACAATATATTTATCTATGTGTCCTAAATAAATATACAGCTAAATACATAAATAAAAATCAGAACAACTTCTCAAATATGAGTATCCATTTAAAAAATAACGTTTAAACAAAATAATTATATATATATATATATATATATATATATATATATATATATATATATATATATTAGACAGCAACACAAATTACACAAATACACATAAATAAATCATGTGTATATACTAATAAAAAGAATAAGATACAGTCAGTACAAGAGGTATTATATATATATATATGTGTGTGTGTGTGTGTGTGTGTGTGTGTAATACCAAATACGTAGATGGTAGGGATTATTCCAAGGAGGTCATTTTAAAATAAAAATATTAAAAATAATAAATCCATGATGAGAGCCTAATGTATACACATTTATATAGAGATGATTATAAATAAATATTAATGAAAAGACTTAATTAGTCATCATATAATAGGTTATAATTTTTTTCAACTGTTATATACACACACTCACATACATACATACATACATATATATATACATGCATATATATATAAATACATATATATATATATGTATTTATATATAATAATATTTAATAAAGTTATATATATATATATATATACTTTTATTAAATATTATTATATATTAAATACATATTCATATATACATACATATATATATATATATGTATTTATTTAATATATAATAATATTTAATAAAGGTATATATATATATATAATACCCTACGCTGACAGCATTATGCTCACTGCAATCATCAGGTATTCGAACACTTGCAAGTACATTTATTAAAATTTATCCCTTATATATATATATATATATATATATATATATATATATATATATATATATATATATATATAAGTGTTGAAATTTGTAAATCGATTATGTCGTTACTAATTAAGTCTTTTCTTCATTATGTATATATATATATGTATGTATATATGTATGTATGTATGTATGTATGTATAACTGTCGAAATAAGTTTATAAACGATTATATCATGACTAATTATTTTTTCCTTATATATATATATATATATATATATATATATATATATATATATATATATATCACATATAAATGTTATGTAGATATGTGGTTGCGAAGATATTCAAGAGATGACAAATGTCAATATATATATATATATATATATAAAAGTGTGTGTGTATAAGAGATTATGAACGTCAATATATATATATGTATATATATACAAGAAATTATAAATGTCAATATATATATATATATATCATCTCTTAAATATCTACGCAACCCCATATCTACATAACAATGACATTTTTTCTACTTGCCTATGAATACATAAGTATTTCGCGCCTAAAATCCTGAATAGTCGTTGAAAAGTATGCAAACTGAAACATCTTAGCTAAACAGAAACAATCACACTTAGGATTGTATTTGCATGCAGTTAAATATTAGTGTTTGTTAATTAATCTCTGGGAAAAGCGCAAATACACGCCTTGTTTTTTGAAAAACAGACGCACACATCGACAGTGGCAAAATCAGAAACAGTTTGAGCGAAAAGGGAGCGAGTCAATAACATATTAATGTCTAAGGCACACATGTTAATGAATGATGTCGTCAAATATTAACTCTTTCACAAAAATAAACGTTCATGCTTTTACCGGTTCACGCATACATACACAGATTGTAGCTAAACAGATGTGATACGCCCAAGCAGTTATTGGCTTCTTGAATTTGCGAGAAAGGCAACCACAGAAAAAAAGGCTGTGAGAAGAAGAAGAAGAAGAAGAAGAAGAAGAAGAAGAAGAAGAAGAAGAAGAAGAAGAAGAAGAAGGACTATGAAAGAAGAAGAAAAAGAAATGATAAAAACACTAAACTTTGTGGCGGGGCTACAATGAAGCAAGCCGCAAAATCTGGGCCATTTTTTGCGCCGTTTTTTACTACCACTACTACTACTACTGCTGCTTAATTCAGGACACCTATTCTCATGACGATGATGATGATGATGATATATCCTGCACGTAATCTTTTAATGCTAGTGATGATAACAATGGGCGTCACCTCTTCCTCCTTCTCCTACTCCTCTTTTTCCTCTTACACCTCCTTCTTCCACTGATGGCGTTTGTAAACACCGCCTCCATAGTGAATGACCCTGTAAACGCAAGGATGTGAGGTGGGGGTGCTGTTCAGTCATGAAGCAATATGCCCATCAGATCAGAAGTTAATTTCGTTGTCCACAAAACCGACATAGTCTGGTCTGCTCCCTGCGTTTTTTTTTGTTTTGTTTTTATTGTTGTTGTTGTATTTGATTTTTTTTTTAGCTTCAGACTGAATGACAAACATTTTCTACCCTCTCTCTCTCTTGTTTTTAATACATTCTCCTCCCCTTCTTAGTTCGTATTTTTTTCTTTTCCGTTAAGAAAATAGAACTAACAAAAAAAAAAAAAAAAAAGGAAAGAAAAAGAAAAAAAGAAAAGAAATATTTTTGTCTCGTATTTAGAAGGTCGTCACATGCTTTTTTTCTTTTTTTTTTTTTCTTCCTCTTTTTTGTTAGATATTTTTACTTTTTTTTATATATTTCATTCAATTTTATCTCTGATGTTCTGTCGTCAGAGATTTTTCTTTTGTGGAGAGAGGGCTTTTGCTGTAAAAGGTGATTAACAATGTTTGACCAACATGGCTTTCTCGATGTTTTTACTTATGATCTAAAAAACAAATAGACGAAGACAAATGACATTCAAATTCCATAAAATTATACCACGAAATGAATAACTGATTCACGGTTCAAAAGAGGGCAAAATGTCAAAAATCGACTTTGAAAATGATAATTTTTATATTTAAAAAAATCTACTGTTACTGACTGTTTGTGTGAAAAACACACCCACACACACGTACGCAAAGAGAGAAAGAGAGAGAGAGAGAGAGAGGCAGAGATGAAGGAAAGGATTTTGACGAAATATTTTAACCTTTATTTATATTCTAAATTCCGGCTTTTAAAATAAGGAACATACCTGTCGAATGAATATGACATTTTACAGGAAAACTTAAAAATAAAAAAGAAAGAAAGAAAAGAAGGAAGAAAGAAAAACCTGGTGTATATGTCGAATTATTCGTCAGGGATTTACAATATTTAAAAACCGCTTTGCATACAATATTAATAATAATAAAAAAGAAAAAAAAAGAAAAGAAAAAAAGTAAAGCGAAAAAAATCCTCGGTTGACACAACGATTATTGATCCTTTTATGGACGATAAACAAACATAACTCCTCGCCATGGAACAGCAGTTAACCAGTTCGTCTCACGGACCATTACTATTGCATAGAGAGTGATACACACTGGATGCCTCATAGGCTTAACCTTGTGCCGGACAAAGGTATGCTCGTTAATGGATAGACTAATTTAAAAAAAAAAAAAACATAATTTAAGAATAAAGCTATACAAGCAACAATTTGAAACTCTACCAAAACAACAAGGATTTTATTTCACATTTTTGAAGCGCTATAAAAAACGGAATATCTTTGGAAAAACAAACAAAAAAAAAAAAGAAAAGAAAAAAATTACTTACCTTGGAGGACATCCCAGGAGAACACCGACTTTATATTGATCCCAACAAACGAGAGAAGAAACAGAAGTAATTTTTGAAGAAAAAACATTTTTTCGCTTCTAAATAACTTTTTGCGAGGTATATATTCCTGAATTTCCCAGACTGGTGAGTTTAACTGCGCAATCCGCGTTATATGTTGTAGATCGACTGGGAGTTAAAAAAAAAAAACAAACAAACAAAACAATAAAGAAAACAAAAAAAAAAAACAAACAAACAAACAAGCAAGCAAACAAGCAAACAAAAACGCTTATCTAATCAAATACGGTGTCACGTGCCGGGAAGGAACTCATGTTAAACGACTGCGTACACCTTTCCTTTCTAAATAGTAAACACCTCTAAATTTGCTACAGAAAACAATTTTGCATTCACACACGCACATACCCCCACCATATATATATATATACACATACACACACACACACATATATATATATATATATATACAGTGTAACCCGGATATAAGAGACCCGGATATAAGAGAAGCCCGGATATAAGAGAGATTTTCTCTGGTCCCAAAGTGTTCCCATACTTACCTAAACAAAATAGACCAAACCCGGATATAAGAGAAACCCGGATATAAGATACTTCTTCTCCGGTCCCGACAACTCTCTTAAATCCGGGTTACACTGTATATATATATATATATATATATATACCTGTAAACAACTCTACCATGGATAAATACAGGTGTTCACGCTTTGCTTATAGATAAAAAAAAATATATGTTGTGTTTACATGACATCTGACTGCACATACATACACACACATACACATGCAACATGAAGACAGCATAATTTTTTTTTCAGATTATTTGCTAGAGTGTTATGTATGCGGTGATGGCTAACGAGTGAGTCAGGTTGACCATTACTTTGTGGCCTTAAGCATCGCTGAACAAATGGTTACGGCCGACTTGTCACGGTGTAATGGTTACAAAGCCCGTCATGCAGATAACTACATGCGAGTTCGATCCTCACTTGGTGCCCTCATAATAGTGAAATTGTGCCGAAGTTAAGATAGCAATTACCTGCTACATTATGTATTAATTCGATTTTATCGTATGAATGCCATGTTGTTATATGACAACGTCTTTCACATGAAAACAATTAACGAACCCCGTCTGCCTATTGAAATTTCAAAAAATATGAAGAATAAAATTTAATTTATTTAAGGAAATTATTTTTTACGTTATTAAACTTAAATTAATCTTGACTACCAAAAGCACACACGCTCACTTAGTCTTTCTCTCTCTCTCTCTCTCTCTCTCTATTTATTTATTTACTATCTACCATGATATATTTCCACAAACAACAGTTTTAAAAAAAGACTTCTTTTTCGAATTACTAATACACACACACACACACACACACACACACACACACACACACAAATTCAATTCTCAGAGATTTTTTTTGCTTTTACAAATAACTTTAAAAGTTGTTAAAATTAATAAATACTGTTTTAAAAAAAAAATCCAAGCTTTAAAACATCTCTATACATAAACTTTCGCTTGAAAAGAACTTTTGCCGTACAGATCAAACGTCCACAACCCCTTTGGGTTTTTTTGTCATCAGTCTAACATCCCTCTGCTCAATTGAACTACTCGTGTCATCGTCGCTGACCCCATCATTTGTGCTTCTTATTTCTCTCCATAAACACCACATCGGCAACTTTACCTGTAACCCCCAACAACACTGTCTTCAGCAGCCGTTAAATAACTGATAAGGTAATTCACGTTATCATCATCATTATTTTCATCAGCGTCATCTTTGTTTCTTTTCGTTTTTTTTTTTTTTTGTTTGTTTGTTTTTTTTTTTATCCACGTGTTTCGGTGAATTACTCAAAAACAAAAAAGCAAAAGTCGTGGTCGCCAACAGCAAACACAGCAGCAGCAGCAGCAGCAGCAGCAGCAGGATCAACACCACCCCCCTCCCTGCCATCACCACCAGCAAGGTGTTTATTACACGGAAACCTTCCTTGGTGCCAACGACTTCCTTGCTTGTGTATGTACCCCCTTTCAGTGCTAAGCGCGATTGCAGGACCGACTGTTTTATTTGCAACATCCACGTTAAAATAAACGTGACATGCGTATTATATATATATATATATATAAATGGAAGCACATGCACAAAATTTTGCCCAAAAGTAACGTGGAAAAATATTAAAAAAAAAATTTAACAACAAAATAACAAGCGTTTGAAAAAGAAAAAAAATTGAAAAAAAAAAGAGAAAAATTCTATTCCTATCGATGAGGAATCGAACATAACGGATTTTAACTCAACCAAAAAAGGAAGAAAAAAAACAAAAAAAACGAAAACGGCAAAGAGATACCACCCACCTCACACGTCAAGGTAGATGCATAAAGACGTACCCTTAACACAATTTCCAAACTTCAAACTAGTACTGTTTTCATTTTTTTTTATTATAGTTTACACAGTTTTCATGAATAATAAATTTTTACTTTTCATGATCTAACACCTCTTAAGAGTCAGACCTAACACACACACACACACATACATTCACACACAAACAAGTTTATATCATTGGGAGAAATCCCTAAACCCATTACGTATAATAAGCGTACCTTTAGCCCGTAAACAAATACTTAATTTATACACTTTGAGAAGCATAAATTTATTGATTATTTTTTAATTAATTTTTTCAATAATTAATCATTTGTTATATATTTTGCTATAAATATTAAATTCTCATTATTGAATAACGTAAAAAACATAGTTCTATCAATTTGAACGTGATACTTTTAATAATTGCTGCTACTCCCATTTAGGGCATGACATATTTGTCTATAGTTTGTTTTTTTTTTGTTGTTTTTTTTTTTTGTCTGATCCAAAGTATATATTATCCTTGCTACTGACGTTCTGATGCAGTAAATAAAAAAGTTTATTTTCTTTTTATATCACTGAGCCAGGTTGGTGTTGAATTTCCGCCAAACAAAAATTTATATATCTTGTCCGATTTTATTTCGTACTCCCGATTTAAAAAAAAAACAAACAAACAAACAAAAAAACAGAAAGAACAAGCAAAAAACAACAAGACAAAACATAAACATTCAAATAATACACATGATATATATATATATAAAAAGGAAAGAAGCCAAGTCCCCCACCTAACGAACTATTCAAAGATTCACCTTGTGTCTACGATCACCTGCTACTGTCATTAATCATTATATCATAAACGCTGAAGGACTCTAACCGGGGAAAAAATAGGGTTTGGGAAATTACGCGAGAGGTAAGTCGTATATCAGAAGTCAGGTCTTTAATTCCATTCACAACTGACAAATTGAATATAACAATTCCGAACTATAAACCAAAAAAGACCCTCGCAGAGAAATGACAAGTATTCTTTGAATTTTTGGTGCAAAAACCAAACGTTGAACGTTTTGCGAAAATATCACCTGTGAACACAGATAACTTTACTATCATTATTGCTATTATTCACATTATTACTACTATTATAATTAGTATTACTAATACTATTGCAATAATTTTAATATCGACAATTCTATTTACTTAAATATTCTAGACTTCTGTAAAAAATTCGGACACTGCATTTTAATTTTTAAAAAAGTAATATATAAAAACATGAATTCATTAAGGTAACTGAATTAACATTAAATATTTGAAAACTTTTGTTTTTAAGAATATGTTTATATTATAAATTGTATCGCTTGTAAAATGTTTAAAAGTAAAATTAAAGTCAAGGTCTATAACATTCATATTCTAAACTAGAGAAAAAAAATCTTTTTAAAAAATGCAATTCTTTACCCACTGATAGATATGGATTTCTTATTAATTTTTTGTCTTTTAGCAGATAGAACCAGTAAAGAAAAGTTCTTTTCATACTGTTTAACATGAAGATATTAAATAAATACTTTGTGTGTGTGTAAATATTATCATCTATTCATAACAGCATATGCAATTATATATATACATTATTAAAAAAAATGAACGTGTTTACACTAGTCATCAGCATTAATGCATTTTAAAAGCTCAGTTTATATAAAAACTGAATCATGCTTCTTACTATTTATTGATAACATTTATTTAGGAAATTAAAAGCTGTGGCTGGGATTAAACGAAGAAAATAAAAGAAAAAAAGGATTAAAAAAATATCAAAGACAACATTATTGCTAATCTTTTTAGATATCGATAATCTAAGTTTATTTTCGTTTCGTTAAACAACTGAAATATTAGCCTGTACTTATTTTCTTTTAACCCTGAATTTTGTTTACAATTGGCTGAAATAATAAAATCAGCAAACTATATAAACAAGTCAGACATTTTTTTAAGTATATTAAAGAGAAAAAAAAGTGAAAAACAAAACGATGATTAATTGTCGAAAAAATAAATAGCTTTTGTCTTTATGTCATGAAAATAAAAACCATATTCGATTCAAATGCAAAATTCATGAAATCCTTTTTTATTTCTTAATTAAAAAGAGGAAACTGCCCTGCTTTTTTTTTTTCAAGCATATATTTATAAATAAACACACACTTTCCTTTCTTCTTCATATATTTTAAAAGAATAACTGAAGAAGAAGAAGAAAAAAGAAAAAAAAAAGAAAAAAATTATCAAAATGCCACGTCCTGGTCGTAATAGCTACAGTGATCAAAAACCTCCATACTCGTATATCGCCCTCACGGCAATGGCGATCCAAAGCTCCACGGAGAAGATGCTACCTTTGAGTGACATATACAAGTTCATAATGGATCGTTTTCCGTTCTACCGACAGAATACACAACGCTGGCAAAACTCATTACGACACAACCTCTCTTTCAACGACTGCTTCATCAAAATCCCCCGGCGACCCGACCGTCCCGGCAAAGGTAGCTACTGGGCCCTACACCCACTTTGCGGGGACATGTTCGAAAATGGCAGTTTCTTGAGACGGAGAAAACGCTTTAAAATCCCCAGACCACCTGGTTCAATAATGTCAGAGACCCTGAAACAAGGTTTAGAATCAGCGTCATACATACAGGAACAGACTCGTTTGCGTCTTCATCAGTATGCGCCATCTGCGCATTTTCAGCCATATAGTAGCACCGGAAGTTGTACGCATACGTACAAACAGCCGTTTACGATTGAGAACATTATCGCGCCGGAATTTAAAAGTTCTGTCATACCCCAGCCGCTAATCCCGACCCCACTGCCGGCATTTGCCAGTCAGTTTGCTGCCGGAGTTTCCATGTCGGGGTTTGTTGCGCCTTACACAAACACTGAGCTAGCGTCGACACTTTCGTCGACCCTTACATCATCGGCCCTAAATTCCATATCGCCGTCGTTTGCAGCCCACCTAAATGGTGATTTTCACCATCACACAACACACACAGCACATCCGCATCAAGTTTTAAAACCATCGAATCACCAACATCAAACCACACCGGCTGTGCCGGTCCCAATAAAACCGTCACCCTTACCGCCACTTACACTCGGACACTCACCCCATACAGGGGCGTTTGGAGCCCCTCCACACGGACACTTAAGTATACCATCGACGTTGACCATCCCCACTGCGGGAATAGAATTGATAGGCACTTCTTCGCCAGTGTCGTCTTCTTCGTCAAACACGGCGAGCAACACATCAAGGTGATAATTAAATCTATTATATCGAGAGATGTAAGTAATTCCACAATATTCTTTATATCAACATTTAAAACTTGAATCATGAACAAAAAAATATCATGAACGATTATCTATTTAGGGTTGAATCATTTTTTTTTTTAGAATAATTTGAAACCACAGACAAAGGGTCGTAATCTGCTTCGCAAAAGAAGAAAAATATACTAAAATTATAATTCAACGAAAAAAAAAACAAAAACTGAAAGATAATATTTGAAAACAAAAAAAAAATGATACCTTTAAATAAAATCGACTTTTAAAAGTTGAAAATTTCAAATATTCATGAGCGGAAGATTAAAAAAAAGAAAATAGTCTGTATGGTGGGCGAAAGAGTTGCGTCTTTCCCCCCAGCGTCGGTGAATTATTTTTTTTTTTTTTTGAGAAAAGCAGACCCGCCTCTTTCGGAAAATTGGCACAACACAGTTTTTCCAACTATCTTGGCATTGTGCCGTACTAAGCTAAGCTTAGTAAATCTGAAGTAAAACTGAAAAAAAAAAAAAGAAAAAAAAAGAAAAAAATTGAATCTAACAAATTATCTTTACATACAGACAAAATAGTTTCAACAGCAAAATGTTCATTTGAAGAAAGAAAATCCTTGACATTTTTTCCTAAGGGGGAAAAAAGAAAATATTAAATAAAAACCTTGGAAAAGATGTATCAATTGTTAATCTGACAATTGTAATAAAATATATGGAAAGGAAATAAAAGATTTGAATCATACATCTGTAGTTTTCCTTTAGGCAAAAAATTAAAATTTTCTTGTGAAAAACAACTTTGATATGAATAATAATAATAATAATAATAATAATAATAATAATAATAATAATAATGCTAAAAATTGTACTCACAAGTTGCGAAGAGCTTTATCTATGCAAAATGTGTACGATCTTAGTTTTTGTTCCTTTAGTTTTTTCATAAAAAATATTCAGTGGAAAATGTCATAAAGCCATTTCTGATCTTAGGTCTCTGGTTGGGACCCGGAAGGAAATATTTGCGTGTAAAGAAATCCAACACGCACACCCTCTTTGAAGGGTTGGGGAGTTGAACGAAAATCTAACCTCATAAGAGCAATTATACAACCAGTTTCGTTTGACAGATAATTTCAACATGTTTCCGCTTTTCTCAAATTAGATTTAGGTTCTGTACCTTTCCATATATATATATATATATACTAACATAACCCTCTACCTTGAGTGGCCCCACAAGTCTTGTACATGATGAACCCTACTATCTATCTATCTATCTATCTATCTATATATATATATATATATATATATATATATATATATATATATATATATATATATATATATATATATGTGTGTGTGTGTGTGTGTGTGTGTATTATATATTTTTTATTTTATATACATGGTACTTATTATATATATATATATATATATATATATATATATATATATATATATATATATATATACAAATAAGAGAAAGAACAAATGGGATTAAAAATCCACATTTCGAAGTATTTACTTTTTAAAAAAATGCTCAATACAAAGTAGAGCAAAGTATTATTATATTTTTATTAGAAGAGATTATAATAAAATGTTTGTATTATAATCTCTTATAATGAAAATATTATATATATATATATATATATATATATATATATATACGTCTTTGGGAATTACGGCCATACCACGTTGAAACATTGGTTACCGTACAATCGCCAAAGTTAAGCAACGTCGATCTTCGTCTGTATCTAGATGGGTGTGTGGTTGAGAATATCAGGTGTCAGCTTGGATGTGCGGGTGGTGTAATGGATAATGTCGGAATTGAAAATCGGTGATCCGAATTCCAATTCCAGTCGGGTTTGTTATATTCACTTGCACGCAAATACCCTTGGCTAAGATGCTAACCACCTCTTCTCCCCAGAATTATGGATTAAATAGTAGGACTTGTATCAACAAATAATTATTATTTCCCCAAAATTCTTACATTCTAAAGATATTTTCTGGTTTTAAATATACTATAAAGGGCTGATAAGCCGTAAAAATGAAATCAGTCAAGCATTTATTGCATTTTATTTGTAGGCGAAAATTTACAGTCGTTTATTTTTTTTTATTATTTTAAATATTAAAATAGAAACAGAAGAAAGAAAAGATGCTTGTAAAACAAAAATTTCACATTTGCATTTTTTTTTTCTTGTGTAACGAGCAAAAAGAAATCGCTATAGTGTTCAACAGCTGATTATTGAAAAAATATTCCGGTCCTATTTCTGTGGGAAGAACTGACAGTATTTCTCAGCTGATCAACGTAAAGGCGCTAAAACGTGTTCGCAAAAGATAGAAGGAAGAAATAAAGAAAAGAAATAGGGGTGGGGGAAATGTCGTTACAATGAACAGGAAACAAAAAATATTTTGGTAATATTTTTAGAAAATTAAGATAAATATTTGGAGTCGGATCATTATTTTACGAATTAAAAAAATGGCGAATAAATGGGGAAACGAAAGATACTAATTAATTCACGTTATATAAATCATCGATTAACCTCTTCACTACATGATAAATAACCGTAATAGCTTAAAGAATGATAGTAATATATATATATATATATATATATTTCACCATCCATTTGTGTTGGGAATTAAGGCTGTATAAACGATGTATGTCTCTTCAATACTATAACACAGTATTTATCAACCTTTTTCATCCCATGAAAGTTTATTTTTTAAAAAAAATATATACAAATGGACCACTACATACTTTTACTTTTAGGATTTTCAATTTCCACACTAAAATACTCAAGCAAAAGACAATGTAGTCAATTTAAATTTTAAAATTTATTTTAGTATACAAGGATGAACACAGGATATCAAAATTAATTTTGATGATTACATTCAGTCTTAGACCATTCAGCTACATGATCTTGATCTTGGTGTTTCTGACAAAAGATATCAAAATCAATTTTGATGGTGCCATTCAGTCTTAGTCTGATAGTTCCTCTGCAGATGAATAAAAAAATTATATAATATATAGTATATATAACACTTTATATATATATATATATATAGATATATAGATATAGATATAGATAGATAGATAGATAGATAGATAGATAGATAGATATAGGCAGCAAATTCTCTTTTAGGCATGTCTGAATGAATAAATTACAGACATTGTGTCTACAATTTTTTATAAAATCCGTTCATACGCACGAATAACCTTCCAGGTATTGATGTTAAAGGATGAGAGAAATGTGCTATAACTGTTTAAATTTCTTTTCATTTCCCAAGTACTTTCGATCTACTTCCAAGATCATCTTCAGGGTGGAAGTAATACAAACTGTATGTTGTTCATTAATATCAATATTTATACAAAATTTACGTTGTTATCCATTACCGTAATTTTTTTATTATATATATATATATATATATATATATATATATATATATATATATATATATATATATATATATATATATATATATATATATATATATATATTTTGCTTTTACGTTTGTGTCGAGCAGTTTTTAAAAATAAAATGAACACTAAGAACTCTGAATTATAAAATCTTATTGTTCTTTCATATATATATATATGTAACTAGAGATGTGACCTGATGAACCAGGAAAAATATATCTTCTGGGAAATAAATTATAGTCATGGAACCTTAAGGTTATCTCTTTCTTAATTATTTAATATTTGCTCTGTTGTTACATTGAGCTCTTTGGATCACATCATCTTTGGAATCATCCACACGGATTACCAAACCCTTCATTATCTTATTATATATATATATATATATATATATATATATATATATATATATATATATATATCATACAGTCGGAATTAAGATACCATTATGTATATATATATATATATATATATATATATATATGATAAAAAATATAATAAATATAGCTTGGCATAATACCTACGTAATTTCGAAATTTTCAAATATAATAGACATGTGCGTAATTAAATAAAATATTATATTTTTTAATTTTTCACATTATGGATGATTTATATACATTTTTGTGAAATGGCTAAATTTTTTTACGTCTACGAAATCTCTGTTGTCCACTGAAAAATCTATGTGGACCGCAGGTAGTCCACCTGGACCAGGTTGAGAAACACTGCTATAGCATATTCTTAAAGTATTCCAGCTGATTTTTGTAATGCTGTCGTCTGGAGGCTTTCAATTCTTCCTTTGAGTCTTAGTTCCTTGAATCACTTTTCTGTTTTTAATTCGGTTTATTTCAATTAAGTAAAAATGCAGTTCAGCTAAGAATTAAAAAAAAAAAGGCCAAAAGCAAATGTGGATTCATCTATTCCTATTTGAGGAACTTACGTATTGCTTTGATTATTCTGCTCCCTAATGTATAGGAAGATGGGAAAATATAAAAGAATAAAAAGAGTTTTATTTTTTTTTAAATCGTGTAAAGTGACGAAACTAAAAAAAAAAAAAAATCGACTATGTATTACAAAATTTAAGTCACCGTTAAAATTTTCTTTTAAATTAAGATATCTAAAAAAAAAAATTCTATAAATGAAAACAAATTACAAAAAACAGTAAAAGTCAAATAGAAATTATACTTGCTTTTATTTTATATTTTTTACTAAATATTATTGTTTGCTCTGTATTGTCCGAACAATGTAAATATTGTAAATAGTTGCAATACCTCCTCATCTCAGAAATATAGACATATCCTAGGGAACAGCTGAAACGCCATGACTATAAAGATGAAGACAGCAGTCCGAACGATGTAAATATTGAAAATAGTTATAATACTTCATTTCAGAAATATAGACAGATCCTGACGAAGGCCGGAGTGTATATCGGCCGAAGCATCGTGAACATGACTATAAAGATGAGGACAACAGTCCGAACGATGTAAATATTGAAAATAGTTATAATACTTCATTTCAGAAATATAGACAGATCCTGACGAAGGCCGGAGTGTATATCGGCCGAAGCATCGTGAACATGACTATAAAGATGA